AGCCAATATCCAGAGACAGCAGGGTTTATAGTAGAGAAAGAGTTTATGCTGCATAGCACTAAGCAGGGAGATGGGAGCAATTTCTCCAATCTGCCCTAAGAATTGAGGAGACAGGGTTTTCAAAGACAGTTTGGTTGGCAGAGGGTTAGGCAATCACAGTCTGCTAATTGATTGGTTTTGGGACAGAACCATCAGTCCTTTGGGATGAGCCATGGTCTGAGTGGGTCAGCCAATCCACTGGAATGCATTTCCTTGGGTGAGGGGTCCAAGACCAGCCCAGGGGGCCAGTCAGTTCCTTGGTCTGAGCTAGTCAGTCAGTCCACTGGAATGGAGGACCTGGAAGATAATCTCAAAAACTACCCCTACGGGGCAGTGCCTGTGGCTCAAAGGAGTAGGGCACCGGCCCCATATACCGCGGGTGGTGGTTTCAAACCCAGCCCCAACCAAAAACTGCCAAAAAAAAAAAACCAAAACTACCCCCAAGGACCCAAACAAGTTTCCATGAAGAAAAGTATCTTCATAACTATCAGCTGTGCCCTCTAACGTAGTACCGTGTTTCCCTGAAAATAAGACACCGTCATATATTTATTTTTTCTCAGGAAGACACTACAGCTTATTTTAGGAGATGTCTTTTTCTCCCCGCCGAAATGCATGGCGTGGCTATGCAGATATGCTGAATAGGCACGCCCATCACTAGGTCTTATTATCAGGATAGGGCTTATATTTAACAAATGCATAGAATGCCTGCTAGGGCTTATTTCTTGGGTAGGTCTTATTTTCAGGGAATCACGGTAATTAGAGACACAAATACGGGGATAGTGGCTGATTATTATTATTTTAGCTGAGCTTGTTTCTTCGCAGTTTTGGGGCCCTTACTTTAGTTCTTGCCTTGTACCACTTCATCAATTTGTAAGAGCAGTTTCAAAACCTAGAACAACTTAGATATCCATCAATAAGACAATGGATAAACTGGGATCTAGTCATGCAATGGAATACTACTTGGCAAAAAGGGAATGATTGATATGTGCAACATATCAATCTCAGATATTTTGTGCTGAATGAAAAAAGCCAAACAGAAGAGTACAAACTGTATATTCCACTTATACAAAATGTTAAAAACACGTAAAACTAAACAATAGTGGTAGAAACCAGATCAAAGGTTGTTTCTGTTGGGTTTGGCTGGGAAGGGGCTGCAAGGATCTATCTGGGGGTGATGGAAATGTGTATCTTTACAAGCATTTTCCTAAATGAATTGAAGAGTTTACTTAAGATATAAGGACTTAACTATATGTAAATTATATAGTTAAAAATTGTTCAAAATATTATGGTTTTGTTTTTGTTTTTTGAGATAGTCTCATTCTGCTGCACCAGGCTAGAATGCCAGGTCCTCAGCCTAGCTCACAGCAACCTCAAACTCCTATGCTAAAGCCTTCTTCCTTCCCTAATGTATGTGGGACTTTAGGCACCAGCTACACAATGGGCTAATTTTTCTACTTTTTAATAGAGATAGGGCTCCTGCTCTTACTCAGACTGGTCTCAAACTCCTGAGTTCAAGGGATTCTTCCATCTTGGCCTCCCAGGGTGCTAGAATTACAGGCATAAGCACCACTTCTGGGCCAAAATATGAATTGTTTAATCCAGTTGGAATGTGTAAAAATTTCCATTGTATTATAGTTTTGACTTTTGTTTAAACTTTTCAGAATAAAAAGGTGGGGAATAAAATTAAAAAAATTTCATTGTTTACTCAATATTAGTTTCAGTAAAGGTTAAGATCAAACACTATTGGTAAAGTATAAAGGAACGAGGAAATGTGATTAAAAATAGATGTATGCTTAGCAAAAGAAAGGTAGCTTACAAAAACTGTTAAATATACAGTATATATAGGTATATATGTGTATTGGGATCTGTTCATACAATAGACTACTACTCAGCAAAAAGGGTATGAATTGATGTGTGTATATACATCACAGAAAGAGAGAAAGTAATCAGAAGAAAGGAAAAAGAGAGATGTTAAAATCAGAAGGATCTGATGTGTTCAGAGATAGGAAAGAAAAGGATTAAGAAGACAAGGGCTTCAAACTAAATTCAATATTCCCTATATGGTCCAACAAGATTTAATACTCAAGTTACTAGGATAAGCTGGGTGCAGTGGCTCACACCTGTAATCCTTGCACTCTGGGAAGCCAAGGTGGGTGGAGTGCCTGAGCTCATGATTTTGAGACCAGCTTGAGCACGAGCGAGACCTTGTGTCTAAGAAAACACCTGGGCATTGTGGCAGACACCTGTAGTCCCAACTATTAGGGAGGCTGAGGCAAGAGAATCCTTGAGCCCCAAGAGTATGTCGTTGCTGTGAGCTGATGCCAGGGCAGCACTCTACTGAGGGTAATAGAGATTCTGTCTCAAAAAAAAAAAGTTACTAGGATAAATATGATATAGTTCTTAATACTTCTTAATGGAGTGCTTCTTAATTTTACTTTTTTTGGGGGGGTATATGTTTATCAACTGTTCAGATACAAATAATTTATTGTTTTTTCACTAAGTTTATAAATATACCCACATACCCTTATCTAATCTTGAGGTCAGGTATAATCATTACTGTTTTACAGATTGGAAAAATTGAGACTTTGCTAAATTTATATAGTCAGTAAACAGAAAAGCCATTCCTGAGACTTCTGACTTAATGGAGTATATTAGGACACTTTAATCATAGTACTTACGAGTCTTCTAGTTGAAGGCATTTTAAGGATTTTAAGGGGGGTGACCTGACCAGGTAAATTGCCACAGGCTCAATCCATAAAGAGCATTTTAATACTGGGAATGTAATAAGGTAAAATAATGTTAATATTTAATAGAACTCCTTTGGTGGGAGAGTTTCATGCTGCTAGAAGAGGTATTTCATATGAGGACCATTATGGGTGTCAAGATGACCATACCTTGGATCCAAGTAAGTGCAGGGATGGATTTCCTTTTGATGTGTTGAATGTACAAATCTGGATCAGAGCTGAATTGCTCACCACAATGAAGAAAGCAGTGTCCTTTTCACCTATTACCACTTAGCTTTTCCTTTATATTGAAAGACTATTAAGGAGCAGAGTTTAGAAAAGATGCCAAATTAATAATCTTAACAGAAGAAAGCTAGTAGCACCATTATTTCAGAATTCTTTTGCTTGCAAATAATAGTAAACTCAACTCAATCTATATAAAAATCAAAATAAAGGCTGGGTGCGGTGGCCGACACCTTTAATTCTAGCACTCTGGGAGGCTGAGATAGGTGGACTGCCTGGGCTCATGAGTTAAGACCAGCCTGAGCCAGAGTGAGACCTCATCTCTAAAACTAGCTGGGCATCGTGGCGGGTGCTTATAGTCCCAGTTACTTGGGAGGCTGAGGCAAGAGAATTGCTTAAGCCCAAGAGTTTGAGGTTGCTGTAAGCTGTGACACCACAGTACTCTGAGAGCAACACAGTGAGACTCTTATCTCAAAAAAAAAAAAATCTACTCCAGACATTGCTTATTCACTCCTTTATTCATTAAACAAATACAAGGTCAAATACTGCTCAGGCATCTATCAGACATTACAGTATAATGAGTTTAACATGTTTTAAAATAAAAAAAAAATTTTGAGACAGTCTTGCTGTCACCCAAGGTGTCATCATAGCTCACTGTAACCTCAACCTCCTAGGCTCAACTGATCCTCCTGCCTCAGCCTCCCCTGTACCTGGGACTCTTTTTTTTCAGAAATGGGGTCTTCCTGGTGCTCAGGCTGGTCTCAAACTCCTGGCCTCAAGTGGTCTTACTTCTGCCTCCCAACGTGTTAAGATTACAGGTGTAACCCACCTCTTCCTGCCAATAAAAATTTTAAACGGTAACATTTTAATTTATATAGTAAACAAGCACACAAATACCTACGTTAATTACCAATACATGTTATGAAGGAAAAGTTCAGAGGTCCTAACAAAAGGGTTTAATTAAAACGGGCATTAGGGCAAGGTAAGAGATAATACCTCATGTGAGACCTGAAGGCTGAACAGGAATTAGAAAGGCAAAGGAGCAGAGTGGGAAATTATTGTTGGTCCACGAGTCAACATTCAGAGGCCTTAAAAACTTTGGGGGAAATGGTGGTGGTTGAAGGATGGTCTGATGGAGGAACTGGAGTAAGTGCCGTTTTGACATAATGAGGGGAAGCTGAAGAGGCAGTAATCAGGAAGCCTCATAAGTGGTTAAAGAGTTTTAAAGTCCTTTCGTGGGGGATTCCACTCCTCTTCAAGGAAAATCTGAATCCTGGTTCCAACAAGCGATTTTCCTGGCCAGCTTGACTTAGCATCTTCTTTCCTCCATCAGCACGTCAAGGGAGCCATCAAGTTTCCTTCTGCCTACTCTGCCTAGGCATTTCACTCTTTCCTGGCTATCAGATTTCCCTGAACCCTCACCTTTTTATCAGGGCCCTTCCGAGTGCTCTTATTTCACTTCTGCTCAGCCTCATCCCCCAACTCTCTCAGCTCTGCAGTCCATGACCTTCAAAAGCCCTTCAAAGTCAGAATCCGCCAAGTCCGTAATCGGAGGACATTAGCTATTCAGAGATCTCACCCATCCGGCACCATTAGATTGGAACAGCTTACCAACACCCCTATTTATATTGTTCCGCCACAACCACTCTGGGGGATGGTTTTATCTGAAGACGCTTTCTCGGTCCGCAGCCACTGTGCGAAGGGCGCTATAAGAATCTTCTCGAATGCTTCTGTCACGCGTCTTCTTCCTCCTTGCCATTTCTCCAGGGCAGGTCTTCCTGCAGACCCGCCGGTAACCCGCAGTCGCGGCAGTCCCGAGAGAGTGGGCACCGGCCTCTGTGCGGAGAAGGGAAGGAGGACACAGGTTACGCCGCTCAAGGCCGCAGAACCAGGCGCCGGAAGCGTGTGGGTAACCGGCGGGCGCTGAGGCCAGGCTGACAGAAAGCGGTCGCGCGGTGGGCCGGGGGCGCCGCGGCGGGCGGGGCCACGACGCGCCGGAGGCGGGGCTCCCGCGTAGATCACGTGACGGGCCTGGCGGCAGCGGCGGCATCGCCCGTGGCGTCTTAAGCGGCGCCCAGTGCAGGATGGTGCTGGAGGCGCCGGTGGCCGTGGTGGCGGCGGCGTCGTTGGCGGCAGCGGGTGGGGGTGCGGTGTCAGCAGCAGCGGAGACGCCCGCGGGTGGTATAAAATGGCGGATTTCGAAGAGTTGAAAGTAAGCGGGGGCCCGGTAGTGGACAGCCGAGGCCGCGGGGGAGGGGCGGTGAGGGAGAGGAGGCGGGGAAGCCGCAACGTCGCCCGCTGCCGCCTTCCCGTGCGGCGGGGGCCGTTTGACGGAGCCCAGATCCCCAAGTCCCGGCCGCCGAGTGAGCGGGCGCAGAGGGCGCGGGGGAGGGGAGTGAGCCGGGGAGGACGGTCGGGCGGCGCGGGGACGGCGGGCCTGGACCTCCAGGATCCAGCCGTGAGTGCTGAGGGAAGTCCGCACACCTGGCGCGCGGGGCCCGGGCGCTCTCGGGAGGGTTACATGGGGACCTGGCGTCCCGGTTCATTTTGAGGGCCGAGGTGGGAAGCGGCATTTGATTTTCCATCATCGCCTGAGGTGTACAAGTCAATGGCGTTTCAGAAGTCTGCATGCTACTCACTTGGTGGAAGAGTATTTTCTGAAACGAAGTTGCGTTTGAGAATTTTTCTCTTTCTTCTTATGGCTGATGCTACCGTTTAGTCAGGTCTGTCACGAGGAAAGGCCCCTTCCACCCACCAGTGCTTCCTAACATCTTCCAGAGAAGCGTGGTCTTTGGGGAACCCTGCCTTCAAAAATGGGCCTATTACTTCGTAATTTCTTACTGCCATGGTAAGAAATCGGAAAGTCCGCGTTGTCGTGAGGTTTGTCTCTCTGCACTCTTTACTCCTGAGGAAAAAAATTTTGTCTGCTTAGCCTTAGAATAAGGTCGTAACTTTATTGTTGATATCATTGTATAGTAGAGATTTGAAATGGGGGTGAAATGAATGTAGAGCGGAAAAGATTTTTTTTCTCCCAGACTGATAACCTTCAGAATCCTTAACTGTAACAAACCTAAGTGTGATAAATGAGTTGGATTCATATTGTGTGGGTCGCTGAATTACTGGCGACGTAAATAAGTTATTTACAGACGGAAATTCTGATTTTAAAAAAATGTATTTTAAAGTGGAGATGAGTGTGAACTTGAAATTCACTGCATCATAGTCTTATGATGGTAGGGCTACCTTTTCAAATAAGAAAGGAGGAGAATCTGGCAAAAGATTCAGTTTTCTATGTTTATTGTTTTTCCGTAAAGGATGGAGTAGGGAGAAGGATGTTGGCTGGTACTACCTGTTCAGTGGGCATCACCAGAAGAATGGATTTTCTTCTCTAAAGAGAGGTTGTTAATAGTTTGCACAGTGCTTGTCATTTTCCCTCCTGGTGTTTAAAAAATATTTAGTTTTCTGGTAAAGAGAACAATATATTAACAAATGTGATGCCCCATTCTAGTTTATGCAGAGAACCAAAATAGTAGGTAAATGGGTGTTCATACTTGGTAAGCTACTAAGAGTTTTAGTGGCTCAGAGCTCCACTTGTAGAGCTTTTAACACCTGTGGAGCTTTTGAAACAATCAGGCTTGAATCTGACCTCTGTAAATTCATGCTTTAGATTTAGGAGGGTCGAAAAGACCAAATGTTTTTTTACCTGCAATATAGTTTACTTTTTGTGTACTAACAGGTGTTTAAGAACTTTTTTTTGTTCATGAAAATTTTTGCAGGACTTGTATTGGACTTTTATAAATGTTGGTCAGAGCTCAATATAAAGTGGAGAATTTAGCTGGGCATTGTGGTGGGCACCTGTAGTCCCAGCTACACAGGAGGCTGAGGCAAGAGGATCGCTTAAGCCCAAGATTTTGAGGTTGCTGTGAGCTGTGATGCCATGTCACCTCTACCCAGGCCTATGTAGTGAGACTCTTTCAAAAAAAAAAAAAAGAAAAAAAATGAAGTGGAGAATTTACTTGCCCTTTCAGAGCAGAAAGGGCTGTCAGTACTGGAACGTTGTGGAAACCAAAGCAGCTTTTTAATATTTTTCCCCTTCTGTCTTTTTGCCTTCCTCCCTCCCTCCTTTTTCCCTTTCCATTTTGTTTTCTGAATCGTCATCATCTCTTCCTCTAAATCAGCTGTCTTTGCTTCTCCCTGCACTTGATAGAATATGGCACCCTTTCCTACAATTCATATCTATTCCACAAAAGAGATTAACTAGGAAGAATTTTCAGAGGAGGAAAGGACTGGACATGATGGAAGAGTTACCCACTCATTTTGCCTTAGCTGCCCTGTACAGACTCACGTTACCCTACATGTGAAGATGAACTGTAACCTTCCCTCCCCCCCATTACAAACAGTTAATGGTGATGATGACATGTATGTATTATAATACAGTGCTTGTTGGATTCCTGGTTCTGGTCTTAAGCACATTCTCTATACATTCTTAATTTTTACATTCTAAATTTTATGAAGAAATTGAAGCACAGAGAGATTGACTTGACCTAAATCACACAGCGTAAGACTGGAAAAGCTGGGATTTTTAACCCCTAGCCATCTCGCTGCTATCTTCCTGCGGTTCGTGGATTAAATTAAATTACTAATAACCCCTTTCTTACGTAACGTGATAGAGGAAAGAAAACAAAAAAGTTAACTAAAGACTAATTAGAAAGGAAGAAAAGGGAAAGAAATATCTTGGGGTCTCAAAATAATGACCCTTGGTTTAGAGTATATTCTTTTTTTTATTCAATTAAAAATTTTTTTTTGCTTTTTGAGACAGTCTCACTATGTCACCCT